TGAGGACATGGCATTACAGCTACAGCGCATAAACACACGATTCTGAGAATCAGGAAGTGAACGAGCAATGAGACCAGATACGTACGCCGTGTGGCCTCTCATTGACGCCATTGTTATTTCCTTAGTGAAGGAACTTGCATTGATCATTTTGAGAGGTCGAACCATAATTATTTATGATAATGAGCTTTTTAAAAAATGCGTCCAACGAGGTCGTGCATGATGGAAAGGTCACATTGCTACAATTACTCGATACGTGCTTGGCGTGCACAAAAATTTCTTACGTGCCATTTGACATGTATGTTTTTACGGTTATTTTCCACCATTTTCAGATGTGAACATGATGTGTGCGTGTTGTTTATAGCTGTCAATGTTTTGGCGTATACAAAATTTCTATTACTACGTACGTAAATGCCCATTATTACGCACGCAAATTCCCATTACTACGCACGCATAAGTACCTTTGTACGCAGCCTACCTTAATTAACTACGGGACCCAAAATATTTTCTCTCAAAGTGCATTTTTGTAATTACATGACATCGCATGCGATGATTACCTTTTCGCCAACGGCTCTCTTTGACGGATTCCCGTGTTCATTGTGAAACAAAGTTTTAAACATTATTAAACTTCTCATATAGTCATTCTCGTCGAACAAAACTCCAAATTAAGTTCATCAGCCGTCGCGTCGACAAAATCTGACATTTATTTGTTTTTCCCATGAGTCTTTACCGCTCAGGTAGGTGAAAGTGGTAAACAATAACGTACGAGATGCGCGCATTCCTTTCACCCTGACTTGTTGAGTAAATATTTGTGTCGTATTTACGTTACGCGCGTAAACATCAAGATTCTTCATTAGCACACGTTACATTAAGTTTATTATATACAGTACATACGTAGCATCGCTCAACTCTTACATTTGTTTTTGTTTTTTAACTACCAACTTCCTTTATAGTTCCTTTTCCTTTTCATTTTATTTTTGGAACAATATAGTGTAAATAAAACATTGTGCCTTTTGTGCTTATGATGTATTCTGCGTAATCCTTCCACCAGTTACCCAATAGTACTTCCACCTCTTATGGAATTCCCTTCAACTAATCTATCAGGAAGGTTTGTTGCTGTAAATACGTGTGGATGCGATTTCTCATTTTGTGTCTTGGAGAAGCCGTTTGTGACTTCACAACAACAGAAGGGGGTTAACTACTGGTGTCGATACACGCATAGGTGGTAAATAAACATAATAAAAAAAAGGGAATTCAGCGTGAATAGCTGGGAAATTGCTCGCGGCGTCCACCGACACTTAGATCAAACAATGATAATCATCGACCACTCATAGCACGCTAAGAGTATCTCCGCGAAGGAGCAACAATAATCATCATTATTTGTTTACCTTGAAGGTTTTCGCTTCCTGTGACCGATGCCAAATAATAATAATGGGTGATGTCATAAGCAGTAGTCATGAGCGTTTGTTAACGAATTTCCCCCCCAAAAAATTACGAATTATGCGGTGCGGCTGAACTGTATACATGATTTCTGTCTTCAAAAACTGTGTACGGTGCTAGCTGGAAGGAGGGTCAATCGACGATATACCGTATTTTTTCCTTTGGACCACCCGAGTGAGATCTTCGCATGATTTATACGCCAGCTTCGACAAGGTTGATGAATACTTATGCACGTAACGATTTTCGGGGTAATAAATAAGTGCCGCACCGGGAGCTTATTTCTCTCCTGGTTTGCTTAAATCGTCCGCTGGCATGCTACGAAAATTTATTATTCATGCAACCTTTTTTTCACACATGGATGAAATAAATTAACACGCATACACGGAAGTCATGCAGCAGCAAACGCCGAATGCGTGTCTCGTGAGCCATAAAGCCCACCGAAAACGAATCCCTTTTGGCAAATACCATTCAACGAATGCAACCACTCGACATTCCAATTTGAGCTTGAATGAGCCTTAACGGTGAATGATGACAAAAATCATAGATTACGTGAGAGTCCAATGGAGAGACCACTAACCATATGCCTACTATGGCATTATTACCATAATGATGCATTGTAAATCTGGGGTTGTGTGGTCCGAGTTTCTCGGTGCTGATCTAAAAGGCTACATGGACAAAGTGGCGAGGGGATGGTTCGATGAGATGACGAAAAGTGCAAGGTTAACCTAGTCTAGTCTAGCACCGCCTGGATGGGTCGGTTTAATGGTTTGATTATTAATAAAAAATTATGGAATTTCCAAAGTTTAATTATTGCATGCAGCAGTCGCTTGACAGAATAATTCACTACATACTACTAAGTGCAGTTGACCTAGAATCCTAATTATTTATTTATGAACTGTGCGTCTAAGAGAAATCCTCGCCAACGCTGTAATCCTACACCTCCACGGCGCATAAACTTAAACTTCATGTCAAACGAGTGACAAACGAGTCACAACACCTGTTCTCGCTGACCATAAACGGGTAAGCATTCAAGTTTTCATACGCACTCGGAGAAGGATTTGCGGTGCGTTTGGGTGGTGGTGAAAGGATAATACAAAGAACATAACAAATGCAATTTGGATTTTCGTGATAAGGAAAGAATATGATTTTTCTCAATAGGAGTATTTTCAACAGGAACAATCCCGTTTCTATTCGAAATTTTAATTTTTCCATTGTACTTTGATGCATTGTGTGTATTGTACGTACGCACGGTAAAGCGATGAGGCAAGAAACAAAAAAAATTCAAAAAAAAAATTTTTTTTCTCTACGCATCGACACGTAGTTCTTTCTGTCCCGACAAGCCATCGAATTTCCGAAATAAGTGATCTATTCGAGATACGCATAGCATCGCGGAATCTCGTATTGATGCAAAGGCAAGATGAGGCAAGATGACAAAAGAATCAATTGAAAAAAAAAAGATCACAATTGCCGTCAATGTCTGTTGATAATGTATTATGACTTCGTGTTGTCTCATATGTAACCAAAAAAAGAAAAAATCTTTTCCTTGATAGCCAAATTTCTTTATTTCAATTTGAATTCCATGTACTGGTAACATGCGGACGTCGGGTATGCGGTCAATCGGAGGTGGAATTAAGATGTAGAAGAGGGGTAAATTGTCTGTTTTTAAATAATGTACGCATGCTCAAGAAAAAAAAATGGAACAACGATCGTTCTTTGAAATGCATGAGGAACAATAAAAATTTTCTCTCAATTATCATTCCTACAATATCCTCAATAGAGGTGCATATTGATTCAACCTCATCCGTCACCCGCACACCTCCCGACAACCGTTCGTCCACGTCCAACCTCTTTAATAGAATCGAATTTGAGGTCATTCATCACCATGAAAGATGATGGGTCAGGTGTGCAAAAAAAAAAATTTTTTTTTCGTTTGATAAAGAATAATCCTTATTGATTAATGCTTTGCGCATTGGGATAAATTTTTTCTAAATTACAACCTATAGACCGATAATAGATGTACATCTTTACCTGATAAAGTCTCATACCACTATCCCTCTTATTTACCTCTGCATATTTGTTGGAGCACAACGATAGAATATTGAAACTTGTAAAAAAAGACAAATGCGCCACAACACATGAACCTAAGGTCAATATCTCGGTGTTTTATTATCCGTCGATCAAACATGATAGTAAAATGGTTGGGGATCATTTTGGGGTTATGCCAAAAAAAAACTTGATTGTGATCTTTGCATCCACGATATTATTTTATTATTTTGAATTACGTACTATTATTAGTTCATTAACAGAGGTGCAAAGGAAAACAACAATGACACAAGGAAAGCATTACAATCGTTTCACAAAAAGAATTGACAGGCGCCCCCTGTATCGTGATTTGTGATTTCATTGATGAGGAGATTGAATTGCGCTAAAGTGTGCTAAGAACTGCTAAAGTGTGCTAAGAACTGCTAAAGTGTGCTAAGAACTGCTAAAGTGTGCTAAGAACTGCTAAAGTGTGCTAAAAAGAACTGCTAAACCGATGATGTCAATTCCAAGAGACAGCGTTCATGAATAAGCATATTGAAATCGGTATCTGGATGCATGTCATCAATTAATTAAGCATATTTAAGTTTGAAATTTTTTCAAACGGAAACTATTAACTATTTGTGTGAAAGATGGTGTTCGGTGTTTAGCGCAAAGAGGTTTTGTTTAATTCCTTTGGACACCATTCAATTCCAGGAAACGCTGAGAACGTGTACCATTCATCACCTTACCCTACCCTTTCGTTTACCCGACCAACTCTTATTTTCATTTTGCAGTAAGAGGTAACCATAACAAATCGAATGCGGCGATCTTTACTTTTATTTTATTGTATTTATCAGAGGTGACAACCAGTAAATGGAAATTTAGAAAGAAATCATTGACGTACGTATGCGTGTTTTTGTTTGTTTTGCGACCGACCAAAACGCCGACTGTCAAAAACGCGATTACAGGGGTTTTTCCTGAAATAAACGCCGATAAATTTCCTTCATTTATTTATTCATCCATTCATTCATTGTATGCTCTTTAAAGACTGTTTGCATGTCACACGCCCGAGCGGCGTAGCGTTCTTTACACATCTTATTTACACCTTATTTACCAAATGTTATGACTTCCGTTTTCCTGAGCCCGCATGTGCATTGTCTAGATCAAGGACATCACCAGTCATCGGCCCGTCGAATTTCCTATCGTAAAAAATAGCCTTACCTTTTGACGTAAATCACATGAAAAACTTGACGGTCATTGCTCGTCTCTCTCTCCCCTTACAGCTTACGCCCTCGGATCGTAAGATCAAGTGACCGTCAGATGACCGAGCGAACACGTTCATCGCGTAAACTGTTTTACACGATACCGGTCCTTATCGAAAATATACTTGTAACAAAAAGAACAGGGGAATAAAACATATCGTATTCCAGATTACACGTCATCCAATAATCTCTTGATGTATAGACTTTGCCAAACAAGTGAACCCAAAAAATTTTGTTTAAACAAAGTAATTCAAAATGTTTTTGAAAAAGTTTTGATCAAGTCTTAATATAATTAGAAAATTGTAAAGGCAATGTATCTTCTTGATATGAAAAATTTTTTTTAGTAATTAATTATTGAATTTCTAATGATTTTTAAATCATCAGATATTCTTAAAAAAAATAATATAAAACATTGATTTTTTAAATTATTTTAAAACAGTGTATTGAAATAATTCATTCATTTATTTATCATAAAAAAATTTTTTTAATATAAATTGGATTTTTGATAAACTTTATAAATGCAACATATTGTATTATAAAAAAGCTTTTAATATTTTTTTTGCCTACTTCATCTATCATCTTAATTCTATTTGTTATTTATCTGATCTTTGAAATTATTTGGCAACACTTAAACTATTGTTTTTTAATTGTCATTTAAATTTTAATTTTTTTTTTTTTTT